GGGGCATACTTCTTCAACCTATACATTATTGACGGGGGAGGGCAATTGGAATGGTTTTAAACTCTACATAAATGTATAGACGAGGAAGTCGATAAATATTAGGGTAGATGATCATTGGAGCTTGCATATTTTTTTGTTATTTTTGTATCAATAGGTAGCTCAATTACCATTATACAAGAATATAGAACAATATTATATGTTTTAAACATTGCTTGCTAATATAAAAATTTGATTTTGTATTTTTAAGCATTTTTGGTATACTTGCATATATTTGTTTTAAAGATATTATTGGTAGTTTTCTTACTAGAATTATGAAAAAAATAGTTGAGTGTACCGAATTCCACTAATATTTTGTATACGTTTACATTTGAACGAAATTGGATATTCATTAAGTTTTTTTTTTTTTTTAATTGTTGATAACAAGTGTTGGCCTTGGTTAAAAATGGAGAAAATTTAATATAACATAATAATTTGTAATACACATAAATTAATTCAACCTACCGTATTAGGCACTAATAGTAAAATAAACTACTTTAATTACAATATAAATATATCATAAAAATATATAGGTACTTACTTAGTAGTTTAGGCTGACGGGCTCCGCTCAAAATCGTTTTACATATGCTACGATTAATTGTTGAATTCAAATTTAAAATTAAGTTATCTATTACAGCAGTTACGTTAGACCTACTCAATGACAGGTATACTAGATACTTACTGTACAGCAGAGCAATTAACTCTACTTGCCCGATTTTTAAATTTTTGTTTGTTGGTGTAACCACAATCATTTTTTTATTTTTAAATGATAATTGATAATACCTATATTTTAATTTCATTTCAAAATTCTAAAAATGTCCCTATACTTTTAGCATTAATGATAATTACCTAGTGGTTATCGGTTATGTTTATTTTTATATTTAAAATAACGGTTTAATGAAAGTTTAAAAACAGTAATGTGTGATAATATTCACATTTCAAATATTGATACATTTTACTTGCGTGTAATAATTATTAGTTATTACTTTCTAATCTTTGCATAACTTAATTTTGTCAATAGATATTATCAAAAATAAAACTGTAATAAATACGAATAAATGAAAAATTTTATATTTATGGTATGCAGGTTATGTTTTATGTATATTATATTAATACTAGCTAATCCCGTGCACTTCGTTACCCGTTAAATGTACAAACTGTATATGACTCAAACTTTGTTCAATGCGTTATTTAATATTCGGTGTATGATATTCTAGATTTATCTTAACTTTTCTGCTGCCCTCCGCCCGGAATAAAAATTCTGATTCGCAGCAGTATATTATCAGGAAGGCAATCTATCTGCGGTAGATCGCGGAGCCCGTGCTGTTTGTACGTAAGTGTATGATTTAACTCTAAAGTATCAAAGTTATACCAAGTTTGTCGTTTTTACTTAATTCCACATACGATGGATTAATATACCTAATCAATTAATACAAAATCCTAACCTAACTTAACCGTACTAAAATCCGATTAATAAAAAAAACCATATTTAACTCTTTTTAAATTAGCCACACAAACATGCCCGATTAACCAATAGAAACCAATATATAATACACTATTATTATTTTTAATTTTTTCTGGACAATCCTTATCACTTAGGGATATGAAAAATAAATAGTAGCCGATTCTCAGACCTACCGAATATGCATATAAAATTTCATAAAAATCGGTCAAGCCGATTCGGAGGGGTATGGTAACTACAACATTGTGACACGAGAATTTCATATTATATTAGATTATTAGTATAGTATTATTAAAATGTATTTTGATTTTGATTCAACATCAATGTTTATAATGACATAACTTATACAGTTATACAACAGAACCTAGCTAATAACAAATTACCTTAATCAGAAAAGTATGTTACTTATGTAATTATATATATTGGAATATATTTGCAGATATTACAGGAAAAACTTTTAAAATACACAAAATGTATATAGAGTGAAACTTGGTAATAGAGATGTTATTGTATTAATTAAATTAATTAAAATATGTTCATTGCCAATTTCAGAAATGAAAACATTTTAATTGGGGTCTGATTTAAAAAAGTTAGTATTGAAAAAAGTTTGAATTAAATTTTTTTTACTGTTTATAAGAAAATACTAGTTTTAATGTTTAGAAGTTTAGATACATAAATGGTAAAATATTTGATTAATTTTATGAATATATTTTAAGAAAATAGTTATTTACATTTTGTTGTTAGAAGTGTAATTATTAGATCGTTGGGCAAATAATTAATTAAATAAAATGCAGTCCCTAAAATTGTTGTTTCCCTACCTATGACACACTTTGTGTAGTACGAAAAGTGCAGTGTGTAGTACGAAATTTAAAAGTGTGTTATTCTAATTAAACCTTTATAATAATATTATGTATAATTTTATATCTTTAAATTTTTTTTATATTTCAATGATTTTTTGTCAAACCATATATTAATTATTAACATAGACACACAGAAAACAATATAATTTTGTGTTGTTACGTCTTATTATAACTATTATTATTTATTGTTATTGAGAGAAGCTATTTTTATTATTATCAGCTTAGTAGTTAATTGTGGAATATAGTACCTATACTATAGTGTTTATCAAGAAATAATTTAGATTTGACCGATTTGGGACTATGTGTGTAGTACGAAAATTTGGATATTTTAGGGACCGTTTAAATATATCAGTTACCTATTAACTAGTTCATAAGTCTATGATTATAATACCCACAATGTCGTGTTGACATTTTATGTCTTTGCTTTGGCACATAGAATCGAAATCGAAAGTCGTTACGTTACAAAAAACCGTTACGTTACGAAAATAATTGCAAAATATCATTTTTCTCATCCGAGATTACGGTCGATGTGTTTTATGTCTTTGATTTGGCATATAAAATCGAAAAACGTTACGTTACGTTACGTTACATTTTTTTGCCATGGTAATATGGACACACAGACAGACATACATTCTTTCAACTGATTTTATCAATTACCATTCATTCGTATGCAATATGACCTCGTCTGCCGTCTGTTATAACGTCTTATAATAGCTTCAATTTATAAGCATTTAAAGTTCGAATTACGACAAAGTTTATCAATTTAGGATAGGCTCAGTGGGGCAATTTTCCAGGGTATCTAATTATGGGTCCCATAAAAGGGCGCTAGTGATTAGGCTTTCAAAGTCCCTAATACCAATGAAGCATTTTTAATTTTACTATAAGTACGTTAAAATAAAATAAAAATATAAAGTGAGTGTCAAAAGTAAAATGTAGGCTGCATACTTCTTGCGTCCCAAAGATGACTTCTAAAAAAGGCGAGACTGGGCATTAATGAGTTAAAAAGTTAAAGTTAAGTTAATTTTATTTTAACTTTTTAACTTAACTAGATACTTTTGGATTTTCATTAACTTAACTGTTATCGTAGGTAATAAATTAATTGTTTTTAATTAACATGAAATTAACGAATTAATTTTTCATTTTAAGAAGTAAGCTTAGTTAATTTATTTTATTTTTAATTTTATTACATTTCACTTTTTCAGTCTATTTCGTTTTCGTTTCAAAACATATTTATTTACCTTGAATTAAAAAAAATATATTATTCCAATCTTACTCATATGGAAATACTGTATAAAGTATAAACACTATAGTTTATAGTCTATAATTTGGTTTTGGCTATCGTTGTATAAACAAATAAACTTAATAAAAAGTTAACAAAAAGTTTGTATTAACTTTTGATCGAACAGAGTTAACCTATAATTAAATTAACTTTAACTTTTTGTTATTGGTGCATATAAACTTAACTTAACTGAGTTCAGAAAAATCATTAACTTTCCAAGTCTTGAAAAAAAATGTAATTCGAAGATCGGGTTTGGATTATGGAACGTTTTATCCGAGTTTTATTGCGTTTTATTAAGTTGTGGCCCGATCAATAATTACATTTTTAATCAGGGCTTGAAATCGGTTTCAATACCGATTTGAGAAACAAGTTTCAAAACCAATTTCAGGAACCAGTATAAGCCGTTGATAAACCGAAACCGAAAATAATTGGAAACCGGTATTCCATTTAAAACCGAAACTGAAAAAATTAGAAACAGGTATTATAACTTAAAACCGAAACAGGAAAAAATTAAAAACCGGTAATTTTTTTATTTTTTTTTAATCTGTACACAATAAGGCACAATAAGAGTATGGGCTATAATACAAAAGGATGAAAATCTTGAATGAAGAAGCAACCCACTGAAGAAACTTTCGTCAAGAACCGGTATTAAATTCAAAACCGAAACTTCTGTAGTATTAATATTTTTTTTTATTCACATTGCTTCATTTACTTAGAGATTCAACACTCGAAATTAATTTGATTACATAGATAAATATTGCAAATTCGTGATGTGAATTGTGAGCTAAGCAAGGTACAAGACACGTGCTGTGTGTCATATTGTCATATATGTTAAAAGGAGTATTATACTCGATCCAAAGCTTGGAAAAGGACAACTTTATTTAGAAATTAGAATAAAATAGAAAAAATTGCAATCAAGTACAAAACATTAAAACTTAACATGGCACACATGGCACAAATATGACAGTCTCGTTGGTCATTTTCTAGTTGATAAATGTTAGTAAAAAATAACAATAAATAAAAATATAGGAAGGTACATAAGAATAATTAATATTGTTGTTATGTTTTACACGTCGATAAGATTCCTATTGCATACTAAAATATTTTTATAAATTACTCATTGTAATTATTAATTGATTGCTAAATCATTGTGAATCATATTGTACTATTGTATTGATGGTTACTCCAAGTGCACATCTTGATAATCTTGAACTTAAGGTCAGACACCGGAAAACATTATGTACTTTGATATTTTTAATAATTCTAAACCTGATTAGAACATATAAATAGTTAACAGCGCACATAGTATTCAGTCGACCGATGATCATTATTCAACGAAGGTGCATGTCATATTTATATCGTTATGTTGTTTAAGTTCCAGTTACTATTTGTAGGAATTTTAATATTCCTAAGCACTTTAAATAATTGTAAGTAATTTATTGAAAAAATAAATATTTATATAATTTTAAATACTACCAAAGTTAGTAATAATATATATATATATATAGTAATAATAAGTATTTATTAAACTCTTTTCGTACCTAATACTAATTTTATGTATGGAAATAATATACAAAACTTAAATGTGATGTAGATACTGTGTAACGGGCATATCCTCTATAAGTTATTGATGTATTTTATTATAAAACTTAAAATTAATTCAAGATTATAAGCAGAATAGAAATGAGATTAATATAGAGATAGGTAATAAATTATTTTCGAAATAGAATTGCTTGAATATTAAAAAAAATAAAATACTATTGGATATCACATTTTGACATTTATGTAATTTATTTTTTTTTTAAAAAGTTAATATTTAGTTAATAGTAATAATAATGTATAGTTACCAAATAAAATATTAAATCTATAATACTTAAATAGATTATAATGTCATGTCCATAAAAAAGTAATATAATGAACCTATACTGATTTTACGTTTTTTTTTTATTCATTACTTAGTTATGGCTATGCTTATAATTTATAAAGTATAATAAATAAGAACAAAAATTAAATACGGTTCATTAACAATAAGTTAAAAGTTACCGTTTAATATGTTTTTGAATAATTTTTAAAATAAACATTATAGTTTTATCAAATATACTCAATATAATAATTTTGATGATACCTACATTTTATTTTAAATTAAATATATAGATTTTGGAGTAGGTATTTAGTAAAAATAAAATAAATATGTGCTATGAAAAATGTATGGTATTTTTTCTATAGTTTTTAAAGAATTCCATATTATTTAACCGTAACATATAAAATATCCTTTGCATCGACATACAAGAGCTTAAAACCATACCTATATAGTATTTCTTTTACAAGATATTATTGTTTGGCTATGCCTTAGAAATTTAGTTGTATATTAATTGAAAGTATAAACAATTTTAGATTCTGATCTCTGAGCGGAGCAATTAATGTATGATTTTACAATGATGTGTATTATTTTTTTGTGTGAATATACAAAATGATATACACGTTTATTATTTAAGATGTTATACACGATTTATAAAAGAAAAAATTATTATATATTAAATTTCGAGAATGGTTTTTGGTAGAAAATTAGATCTAGCTGGTACTGGTTTTGGGAGGTCAAAATTGAAATTTCATAGTCAGTACTTACTTTTAATAATAATCGGGGAAAAAAATATTAAGTAAAAAGATGAATCAATTTTTGACAAACGACTATTATGATGTAATAAATTATTAAAAAACGAATAAAGTAGATACTTGACATTTTCACAAAATGTTTATATTAGCATTATTATGATATGATTTTCAAAACATGTATTTTTATTATTTTTGAGCTATTTATAGATATTTAAATAAATTCTCTAAATAGAATGATTTTTTTATAGGCATTTAAAGTTCAAAATTTGACAAAATTCTTAAAAATCACGAAAATTTGTAAAATATTTTGGGGTTAAAAATGTTTAAAATTTTCATAAAACTTTAGTCAACTTAATTAAAGTATTTTAATTGAACATTTTATACAAGGTTTTTTATTTTTAGTTTATACTGAAACTAAAACATCTAAAAAACAAATAAACACAATTTTCGTGGGGCTTAAAATTTGTACGGATACCTATTATTATTTTTATACACACAAATACACAATGACATTTTGAAATGCAATGCTTTCGGTCAAAAGTTATTCAAGCCGTCATATTACTAATAGTAATATAAATTACTTTTATAGAAATATAATATATTTTTTGATAGGTATACGATAGACCGTTTTCTCTCAGAATCGTTTTTGTACCTATACCTAAGCAATGATTTCTCATTTAATACAAATTTAACACATACATTACAGTGATTTACTCAATGACGAGGGTTGCACACTTCCTACTTCCCTTTTTTTTTTAAATTATTTGGCTTAACATTTTTAACATTAAATATAGAGTTAACTTCGAACAATATATGACATTTTCTTTTCGTAGTACATTTATTATTAGGTTATAGATTGTTTATTTCGAATAATTATTGCAATAAATTACGCACAATCTCAAAAGATACAATGTTAATACAACTTATAAATAATACTTTTATATTTTAATAAAAACTTTACTTATTTATTAAGTGACCACTGACCATAATATTTTAACGTATTAATTGAACAAATGTACCTACCTAATGTTTATTCGAAAATCAAGACATATAAAATAAAAATCGATATCCTGAAAGGTTTTTAACAATATGACAATTTTTTTTATATTGAATTTTATGTTGTTACGTGTTTTTAAATTATTTATAACTATTTAATTGTTGACAGGTAATGGACAATTACCGGATAATACTGTAAACAAAATAACAGGAGTTGTTAAAAATGCAGTGACAGACGTTCAAAATTCTACCACATTGATAGTACACAATGTTAAAGATATTTGTGAAAAGATTGGTGATTGTGTGAAACAAAGTGGGACCAAAGTAGTAAACAAAACTGTTACGATAACAAAAGAATCGCTACAAAATGGAGCCACTATGGTGAACAAAACTATCACGACAACCAAAGAGACACTTAAAAGAATCCCATTAAAATCTATTGAAGAAATAATAAAAAAAGCTAAATGTGTAATACCCAAGAATGCCGATAACATCCTTAGAGCTGCATTACTTCAACAGTGTATTTCACCCAGTCTTGGTAAACAAATAAAACAAATGTTAAGAAAATAATAGCTTTATATTAGTTATAAAAGTTATGTTTACCAACTTAATTACCTTCCTATTGTACCTATTGTTTTGAAAACTAGAATGACTGTCGACTGATAATAATAAGTATTTGATTTAGTGAGAAATATTTCGTGCAAGTATTTAACAATAGTAATAATATTATATAAGCAATAAAAAAAAATAATAAACTACTAACTATTACCCACTCACATAGGTACCGACTAAAGTAATGTGTGACTTGTGGGTGCAATTAATGTAATATAATAAAAACCAACCAAAATAAATTGTACATATTTTCACAATTTTTTTTAAAGGTAAAAAAATTGCAATATTATAGGTACCTAATATTATAAGTAGGTTAGGTTAATTTTTAGTTTTAATTTAAGACCATTTGTTTATATTGCAATTTGAATATTTATTAAGATATTATATGCTATTAGAAAGTGTATGATTAAAATTTTTTTTTTCAATGCTTATAAATACAAACTGTGGTTTATGTTATTATTGTTTTTATTTATAATAATAATAATAACTTTCATTAAATTTTTAATTACACTTATAAATATTCAGATTGACAATATGAAATTTATTTATCAGGTTTTGGGAACGAATCTAGATGTTTTGACGAACTTGGTTGTTTCTCAATGGAACATCCTTGGTCTTCAAATTTAAGACCTTTTCCACAACCTATGACACCTGAAGAGGTAGAAGTAAAAATTTACTCACATACTAGGTATGTCGTGTTTTTAATTTTTATAATTTATCAATAAATTTATGAATGTACTACTATTTATTTTAGAAAACAAAATGCTCGATACACTGTGCAATTATGGCCAAATATTTTATTAGAAGGATCGGACTTCGATCCTATGAGACCATTCACTGTATTTATAGTACACGGATTTAATAGCGACGGAGAAAATCAATGGATGTCTGGTCTTAAAGATGCATATTTAAAACAAGTATAAAATAATATTATTTTAATATATTAATAAATATATAATATATTTATAATATTTATAGCAATATTATTTTTAGGCAGTTGCAGATTGTATAAATTCTAATTTAGAACTTATTTATGTATTTTTGATAGCGTGATGCAAATATTTTCTTAGTTGATTGGGGAAAGGGATCGAAGCAATTTAATTATTTACAAGTAGCTTCAAACACAAGGATTGTCGGTGCAGAATTAATTAGGTAACATCACAAAATCATATTTAAGAGAAAAATTAGATTATTGTATTTATGTACCTATCATCAAACTCGTAACTTACAGAGATACATTTTAAATTATGAAGAACATAGCTGCAACTAAACCAGTGGGTAAACAATTAAAAGATTAGATTGCGATTCATCATTGATTTTTGACTGTTACATAGGTACTGTCATTGATGATTGATATACTATAATATGCAGTAATATGTATAAATCAATGATACTGTTTATTGTTTAGGTATTCTAAACATATTTTTTTAAACTGGTTTGATGATTAAATATAGACTAAAGAATAATTATTTTTTAGGTTTAAAACTAATACATTTTTAATGAATCATCCACATTAATAAACATATTAATTTTTAAAATTGTATAAATGTCGGTTAAGTTTTATAAGTGTATTATAATAACAGTATAATAGTTCAGACAAATTCAAAACAAATTTCCTTTACATTTAAAAAATTTAATATCTCTTTTTACCTTAAGGTTTGGAAAATATCTCATTGATCATTATCAACTGGACCCACTGAAAATTCACGTAATGGGTCATAGTTTGGGTGCTCATATATCCTCATATTTTGGTAAAGGCATCCCTGGTTTGAGTCGAATAACAGCATTTGACCCAGCTCAACCAGGATTTGAAGGTTGTCCAAAAGAAGTACGATTAGATAAATCAGACGCTCATTTTGTTGACGTTATACATACCAGCTGTAGACCCACAGTTCCATTTTTAGGTTTTGGACTTATCACACCCGTAGGTAATTATACGAGTTTTGTATGTTATCTAGGTTTAGAGTATTATAAAATTATTATTTCAATTTGATAGGCCACGTAGACATTTATATGAATGGTGGTTTCATACAGCCTGGATGTACTGTACCTCCAATAAATGAAGTAAAATTAACGAGTATTGCGGATTTAGCTGCTATTCCTGCTGATGGTAATCATTTTTTTTAATAAATATTTTTATTAGCTATTGGAAATATTTAATATAATTAAAAAATAAATAAAATATGACAAGTGAACATAAATCAATTTGTATAATTATAATATATCGTGGACAATTATTTTAGAACTAATTAATTTAAAAACAGAACACGATAATTTATTTTATTGAGTGCTATCGTATTCAATAAAAATTGTAAAAATAAATATATTGCAGAAGATAATAATATAATTCATAAAACAATATAAAACCTACAATATAGCACACGAAAAAGAGTTTGATAATAATATTAATATGGTCGACTTTTATAAATTATTTAATAATAAAACTGACTCATTAATCTCCATTCTCCATTTAAGAATAATATTTATTATTTATGTAAATATGTGTAAGTAACTATTTATGTAAAATAAAGTATAATATAAAATAGCCTAGTCAAATATTTAAATCAAATATTTAAGTCAAATATTTAATTAAATACTGAAAAAACAGGATACTAAAGAAAATTCCAATTGCATAATTAAACAATCAACTTTGATACATAGGCAACCAAGATAATTATAAGAGATAATCTATTCAACATTTTACTACTTAAGTTTAGAAATATCTTTTAATTTAATAAAATAAAATTAATGCAAAATTAAAAATCCCTGTATTATTCACTATTCAGTAGATATACAAAGAACAGAGGTGTCGGTTGAAAATAGTGTGAAAATAATAATAACTGCAAAGTAATAATCACTAAATTAGTAGATGAATGAATAGTCCAATACAAGCTACAAAGTATAAAGATTGTGCAAAGATAATTAAAATATTACTTAATAACTATTGTGAGTCAAATAACAGTATACATTTATCTGAAGGCATAGTTAGATATCAATACATAAACATTAAACATATACCTATTACAAAATAATATTATAATATACATTGCAATAGGTACCTATTAAAATATTAATTTTATGATTTCAAATTTTTTAAAACAATTATTAAATATCAATATAATAATTGCGTTTCTAATTATAATACATTCCCTCTTTCGCTGTTATATATAACAATTAATATTATATTACAGTATATTTTTATTTCAGATTCTGAGTGAAGCAATGAATGTATTGATTTTACAATGATGTGTGTTTTTTAATTTTTTTAATTTTAATTTTTAATATTTGTGTCTGTGTACACGATAAGTATTCGAAATGATGCTTCGATTTTCTACTTCATGAATACTGCAGTAGCTTGTTCGATGGGAAAGAGAATCTAGTTAGTGCGTTAAGGTGGTCAAAATTTAAAATTCTCAATAGATTCCAAAAGCTTGGAGAAAAAAACATTAAGAAAAAACGAGAATTTTTAAAAAATTGGTTTTCGACAAAATCGATTTTGGTTTTTGGTGTAACTCTAGTACAAATGACTGTAGATACCTACATATAATTTTCAATCAATGTATTTGTATTAGGATTTGCTATACGCCTATACACCATAAAATTAACAAAATATTTTGATTTGTTGGAGTTGCTTACATAAGCTAAGTTTTCTAAATTAAAGATTTTATTAATTTTTACCTACAAAACAATATGCAAATATTTTTGATTTTGTTTAAATTTTAACTTTAAACGCGTGTAAAAATTTAAAATTTAATTTAATTATTTTTGAATCGTGGTTTAAAATGTATGATGATCTTAGTATTCAATTTTAAACCTTATTTTTATGAAAGTAGAAAAATGTTACCAACTATCTATATTGCATAAAGTCATAATTAAATATTGCAAAATTTAAAATATCTGTAAATAACACAATAAAAACAGGATGTTAATATTTTGAACATTATATATTTATATAGTAGGTATCCAGTAGATACTAATATTACAGTTTGTTAAACATTTTAAGATTCTAAATTTGTACAGCCTACTGTACAGCAGAGCGACACCCACATGCTCACCTTCTTTGTTTTGGATACATTTAATAGTTTAATATTTATATAAAAATTCCTAAATAAGTAATTTAAAATAAATAACAGTTATATCATGTAAATTAATTAGTTATCTACCACAAGATTTATGAAGTAGCTGTTATTTTAATCAAATAATTCAATATTATATGGTTTAATAATGTTTAGTACTCGGAACTTGGGTTGCTTGCTCTCACGGAAGATCGTTTTCATATTTCACAGAGTCATTAGAAGACAATTGTACATTCTGGGCTCAGAAAATAAAATTATTTTCTGCTATTACAAAGTATATTATTTGATCTGTTTTTAACAAACATATACACCATAATTACTTTTAAAATTGAAATAATGTGTTGTGTATTTCACAGTGCTGCAACCGTCGGCCAACTCACGCCTATCCTGATGAATATTGACAAATGTAAATTTAATGAATGTGTACCATTAGGTTTAAATACTGATCAATATCCAGGTAGAGGTGTTTTTATTGCAGGAACTGCATTTTTTGAACCATATTGTAGTAAGTATAATTTTTATCTATACACATTAATTCCGTTGTTAAACCAAGTATTTTAAATGCCAAATATCTCGTATTATTTAATATATTTCATTCAGTATCATTGATAGATGATGTTTTGTGAATTAGTGGGTTATAATTTATAATTATTTTTCAATACATAAAAAATATATAATATTGATCTATGTAATATGTTCTATATTCTTGATTATCTACTTATAGAGAGCAATTTGGAAACGGATCGGATTATGCGGAAGGCATTTAAAATGATGAAATGAAAAATTGGAATAGATCATAATATAACATAGGTAGGTGCATTATAAGTCTAATTTCACACAAATTAATAATCATTTAAAGTGGAAACCATTAAATAATTACGCATTTTTTAATATTTACAATTGGTGCTTGACGGTACAATATAAGTAAATTGTACACAGAATATATATTTTCGTTTTGTTTTATTTTTTATATAAATGTTGATGGTTATTACCATTCAGTAAGTAATATATAATCCACTTGGTTTTTTCTTGTTAATTAATTTTTAGTTAATTTAACTACACCAGTGTTTCCCAAACTGTGATCAGCGGACCTCTAGGGGTCCACATGTATACAGAAGGAGGATTGATTTAAAATTTTTATTTTGACTATGTGTATACTTATACTTGTAAATCTGGATTTATGTGACTAGTTTTGTGTTGTTTAATGTGGTATTACTGTATTAGAATTAGAATTCGAAATATATTAAATAAGTATATTAGACAGTTTATGAAACATGTAATTATGATTTATAACAATTAACTTGAATTTACTATTTTTTAATTATTTAAGGTATGTTATAAGGTAAACGGAAATTAAGGGGAAACGTTTTTGTTATACATATATAAATGCATTATCGAAAAAAACGTGAAAAGAAAGTCGATGAGCTAAAACCAATAAACAGACAAAAAAAAAAATCAAAAGAATGTTCTCTCTAAACATTGAAAGGGCGGTATCTTTCAAAAAAAAAATATATTTTAATACCTACATGTCTAATTCACTTATTTGGCAAAAAATCAATGAAGTTCATTATATTAAATGAACCTTCGACGTTGAAACAAAACGTTCTTTATTTTCTATATTTATAAGATATTTATTACCTACGTTATTAATATTGGGATATTAGATTGAATTTAACTCTTCAGAAATTATACAAAATATATAATAAATTTGAACATAAATATTATGGAACCTGTAGGCATTAATATAATATATGAACATAAAAGTTGGACATTTTTTAAAAAATAAATGAAAATAACTATTAATAGAAAAAAAAATGAACTATTAAACAAAACATAAGTAACTTGTTCTCAGTACAACTATTTAAAATGTAATAATTTAAAATTATTTATAGATCTATTATACTCCTATAGCCAGCTAGGAAATAAATATTTTTAAATTCTGAGAGGAACGAGGAAAGTATTGATTTTACGATGTGTTTATTATGTGTCTAACTTAACCTTATGCTTTAGTAGCACGTACATGCTTCAATCTAAGGTGGTTTCTGGTAAAATATTGTATTTATAGTGCATTAAAAGAAAAAATTCAAAATATTTTGGGAAAAACAAAAATAAAAATGAATGAAACTTGAAAATGTACCTATTGATTACAAAGACTTTCATAAAATAATCTTACAGAATAAAATCATAAAAATATCAAAAGTACATAATATAGTCAACACTTTCTTTTGTAGTCGTCTGAAGTTCTAATTTTTACGAAATTAGATATTTATTTATTAAAATAAATTATAAAATTGCTTTAGATATTGAGGTTAATCTATGTTCTTCGCTCGAATTCTGTTTTTGTGAGCGATGATTTATTATTTAATTTAAATGTAACAGATTATTTATTTTAGCGTCCTACTGTGTAACTGTTTAAGTGTAACGATATGTATACTCAAAATCTATTGACTATTGTATATCAAAGTGACTTCTCCCGGGTATTTTAGATTCTGAGCCGAGCGATGAATGTATTGCTTTTAAAATGATGATTTTTTTTATTTTAAACATTTTAAAAATTTTATCAAGTATAGGAATTAATAAACTAAACATATGGTAAATTTCAAGTATCCACGGTTATTCGTTTTGGAATTATAAGAAAATCACTAGGTACCTAGGTACCTACTTGAGAAATCTAGTGAAAAAAAATGTTGTAAAAATTTGAACTTCAAACGCTCATAAATATTTTCTTATAGATATTATATTTTTTTTGATGAAGGTAGACAAACTTATATGAATCTTGTATTACATTTTTAAATCAAATTTTTTGGGATATTATTCATTAAATTCAAATTTAATATCATCCATTATACAGCGACCCTGCACTATTGTAACCTACTGGCTACTGTAAAGCAGAGCGACAGCCAATAACCCACCTTTTCTATATTATTTTCCTGCTTTTTTCTACAACAGTTTTAACTAATTAGTTACAAATATTTTTTTTTATATATAAATTATAGTTATCAATATAAATTAACAAATTATTAATACGAACCGTTAGAAAATCTCTAACAAATATTTTTACATTATGTTATAGGTATAGCATTGTGTACTTCATCAGCCGTGTCATAGAGTTATTTTATGTAAATCACTCAGTATTGTGCACAGAGTTCGACACTGTATAAGCAACAATTTGAAACATATGACTTCGGCAGTACAGTATTCATAATACAGCAAAATATTTATTTAATACAATTATTTAAAATTGAGTTTGTTGTTAAAAATTATATACAAGTTTATAAAACTTGAACAAACTATGTATGATTCTATATATTTTTATAAATAATTCAATCAGACAAATTCCTGATTATTTTTATATGATGAGAATATCTAACCATATTATCTCTTCATATTTTTCTAATTTATTATTTATTATTTATTATTCATTATAAGTATTTTTTAGTTAACCTGAATAAATGAATAATTATAATTAATTGTTATTTTTTGTCACCGAAGATAGCTTAATCTAGTTGTATATAATATAATATAGGTAGGAAGCAGATAAAAGAGGTAATATTTTGGATATGCTTGTATGCACAAAGACAAACACGGTGAGACAACCTCGTAAGTATATCTTTATGGTTTCTAATAATTAATGACTCACATAGTTACAAATGCTTTAATTACTTGAGTTAGAATGAAGAACTAGTTCTTAGGTACTGTAATATATGTACATTATACGATGTTAAATTATCTGTAAAATATACAGAATCCATAGGAGTCAAAATAAAATAAAAAAGTTAATACTCCAAGCAATTTCATTTGAATAAATCGGCCTCAAAGGTTTAATAAATGACGTAAACTCATTCCTCAATGTCTCAGGACTGTAAAATTAAATTAAATGTAATTTTTTATATTTCTTTTATCCTATATAACTATTATTTATCTAAATGTTCTTTATGTGAATGCCAATAAAGCTGAATTTTAATTAAAATAAATATTTGTGTAATTGACTAATTACCAATTAATAGTTTGAAATTTGTAAATCAGTCGGCATAAACACTATCATACCTAGTTAAATGTATTGATTATTTTGTAATTTGATGACTGTTGGTCTAGGGTCTAATCATATCAACATTATAATTTGTTGTTAGACTTATACACACACGAACATGCTATGGTAGAAAAAATAAAGGTATTTCAGAAAGGTTCATCTATGTTTAATCTAATTAACATTTTTAGATAGTTAAAATTAAAAAGTTTAAAACATTTTTATTTGATGTATTTTATACACGACAAGTCAGGGACGAGTTTTATCACTCATCAGGGGGGGGGGCTAATTGAGGTTCAAGAATTTACTTGGTTGTATTTAAAATCTTATAAAATAATAATAATTAACGTAATATGTGTTTACTCATAATTCATATGTACCTAAATATTTTTTTTGTTTGTATGTATTTGTTTCACAATAACAACCTACCTATTTTAAATAGTTATAATGCTATCACTTTTCATCGAACCATTATAAAAAGTAATTTTATTAAAGTAGTAACAAAAATGATTTGTTTATTTAAAAAATATTTATATTACATTATTAATTCCAAGTTTTATTATAACTTTATATTAATAAATATTATTTAATATATAATAATAATTTTAATGATTATCGGAAACGAGTCGTTACTCGTTCGAAAATCGATTAAACACTGAATGGTTTAAATGATTAAACCGACCATGCGACCGTCGGTACATGGACAAAATGTAATTGTATTGTGTACAAATTTAAACTTCCCTATAATAGTGTAGACATAATACAAATACTATCAACCGCTGTCCGCCACTCGCCAGTCCGTGTCGAACGAAAAAACGATCCATAAATAGCTTGGGCACACAGAACGTGGTCTGCCACGGTGGACGGGGACGATATGACGATATTTTATAAAAATTATTGACAGGTATATCATAATACTTGACTTAGAAAAATAAATAACTAACCCCCCGTAACCCCCCCTCATACCCGCGCCGCTGCGAAAAGTTTTCGAAAATACTTAAAAAATCGAAATAATGATTTGATTTTAAACTTTAGAGTCTTTTTCAGTGAGAGGTGAATCTAGTAAATACATTTGGGAGGTCAAATCTTAAAATAACCAGTAGTTTTCAACATCGGCTGGAAAAAATAAACAAAAAAGTTGGAAAGTGGATGTCGTTTGCTGCTACAGTAGGTTACCAGTGGGTCACTGTAATGAATTGTGTTAAATTTGAATTCAATGATATAATATCATTGCATAAGAAAAACGATCTGAACGAAGACGGTCAGTCAGCCTATGATATTATTAAGTATATTTGAGGATATTATTGTGAATAAAGTAATTTATCTACCTATTTATAAATAGGTAAAAACCTTTAGATAAATTATATCATAAACGATTTACAAGGAATTTTGTTTTAAATTTTCAATCCTTAGCTATAAAAGTTGAACATTTTATTCATCTTTAACTACAAAATAATTTTTAAAGTTTAAATTTGACAAATTTTGTTAAAATTCGACCTTTAAATGCTTATAAAAGAACATTGTGCCCATGCATTTTAGATTCTGAGTAGAACGATAAATGTATTGATTTTACGATGATGTGTGTTTTTTGTTTATTTTATTTTTTTTTTTGTGTCTGTCATCACGTTTCAGTAGATTTTCTGATAGGAAAGTGAATCTAGTTGGTACTTTGGGGGGTCAAAACTGAAAATTTCCCAGTAGTTTTCAAAAGCGTGGTGAAAAACGATTTATTAAGATTTTAAAATGTGTTACA